ATTTATGATTATCTTTTGGATTATAGCCAACCTAGTGACTATGAAGTGGCGTGTCATTCGATATACATTCCCTAATGATGAATGAGGTTGAACACCTTTTCATGCCCTTATTGGCCATTTGTGTATCATCTTTGGGGTAATCTCTATTCAGATCTTTTTGTCCAGAGATTGTCTCTTTTGTTGAGTTGTAAGAACTCTTCATACATAGTGGACACTTTGTACCTTCTTGCTGGCATTATTTGCAGTGCAAAAATTTCTAATTTTGAGGAGTCTGCAATTTATCTTTTGTTGCGTATGTTTTTAGTGTCATGTCTAAGAAACTCTTGCCTAATTGAGGGTCTTAAAGATGTACGTTTAGGTTTTTGATCCATTTTGAGTTAATTTTTGTGTTTGGTGTGAGGTAGGGCTCTCGGTTCATTCTTTTGCATGTGGAAGTCCAGGTGTAGTAGCACCTTTTGTTAAAAAGCTGTTCTTTCTCATTAAATTGTCTTGGCACCCTTTTTGAAAATCACTGGCTATAAATGTAAGGAAATGTCATTTTCTATCACAAACATTGATTGTCTCAAAGTCACGAGACACCATCTCTTAGAACTATTAAAAGAAACCTTTTCATAATATGGAAAAGTCTTTCTCCCTTTTTAGCAAATAGACTTAGTGATTAAACTTTTTAATGATAACTTACAGAATGAATAAAGATTTAACTTAACTTTTATGGTAATTGGTATGTAAATATTTGCTAAACTTTCCTTATTTCTCCAAGAAAGTAATTGGCTGATAGAGTCCTTTGTCTTTTCAAAGCCCCTGTGTCAACAGTCTCTCGTTCTTTCAAGATTTCTTATTACGTTGCTAATTGAAATTTGTAGCCTCTGGCTTTAAATGCTTTTTTTAAAATAAGGCTTAATTAAAGACTGTGGAACTTGCAATTTTTCTGATTCCACAACAGTAATACTATCTCAGTGTGCTGTAATACATTACAGCCCCAGATGGGGCAGAGAGAGTCCTCCATGCTGATGTTGGTCCTCTTGACATGGCCCTGTGATCATTTGACTTTTCCTGGATGTTCAGCACAGCTTAGGTTCACCTTACACTTCACTTGCTCCAGACTAGAGTCTTAATGAGCTCTGCACCATGCCCCTCTCCCCTCCTTTTATTTTATAGAGATTGGTATTTAGAACCCAAATCTGGGCTCTCTATGTCTGCATTGCTTCTAGGCCCTTTACATTTATTGTTGCCCTTCCCATAATGCTTTCCCGCTTCTGCTTGGCTTTGGGTAGCACTTGCCATCTTCTGATGTATCCTGTATCTGTGTCCCCCTCACCCCCACCCCAAGCATGTCAGCTGTATGTGGATAGGTCTTTTGGAATGCCTGCTCCAGCCTAGCAATTCCTAGCACCTGCTTAGCATTCTGCAGGCGGTGACACAGTGACCAGCAAGTGATGACACAGGAGCAGAGCGAGCCTGTGGTGGGATTGCTGGGTGACTGTGTATGTGTACTTCATTCCACCAGCTGATACCTTGATGTCATTTTCCCCTTCTGTCCCTGTGGAAACAGTTTTGCTTTGGGGGATATGTACATTTCAGTACATCTGTTCACAGTGACAGGACATGCTCAGGACACACCCAACTTTTGCTTACCTTCAGCGGCCTTCTTCCTGCACCTGCCCACCCTGTCCCTCTTTGCACCTGCAGTAACTGCTGCACTGCCTGCACTTCCCCTAGGTCTGCCTGTGCTGTCTGCTTGGTCCCCCAGTGGCTTCACAGAGTCCTCCTGCCACTGTGCATGGCTCCCTGCCTGCCTGTCACCTGTGCTCACATTTATTTATTTATTTATTTATTTATTTATTTATTTAAATATTTTTTATTTATTCAGAGAGAGAGAGAGAGGCAGAGACACAGACAGAGGGAGAAGCAGGCTCCATGCAGGGAGCCCGACGTGGGACTTGATCCCGGGGCTCTAGGATCACACCCCAGGCTGCAGGCGGCACTAAACCGCTGTGCCACCGCGGCTGCCCCATTTTATTTTCTTGATCCCATTTATCCCCACGTGAAAGTGTTTTCTCGTTTACTTAAATAAATAGGACTGTCCACTAGAAGGGAAGCTTCACGAAATCAAGGCTCTTATTTGCTGTGCTGTTTGCCCTGTGTTCATAGGGTCTAGCATAGTGCCTGGCACAGAACTGGGTCTTGAAAAATATTTGTTGAATGAGTGAGTTATATTTCTTGAACATCTGTTGATAGAATCCAAAATGAATTCTGGTGTCAAGAGAAAAAGACATTGGGTTTCTGTCCCTTTATCTATATATACAGCCTTGAACAGCATGTCTACTAAATATTAAATTAAAAAAAAATGTGGTGCCTGAGTGGCTCAGTGGTTGAGCCTTCCACTCAGGTCATGATCCCTGGATCCTATGGGGAGCCTGCTTTTCCCTCTGCCTCTCTCTCTCTTTCATGATTTTTTTTTAAAGATTTTATTTATTCATTCATTCATTCATTCATTCATTCATTCATTCATTCATTCATAGAGACAGAGAGAGAGAGGCAGAGACACAGGCAGAGGGAGAAGCAGGCATCATACAGAGAGCCTAATGTGGGACTCGATCCAGAGTCTCCAGGATCACGCCCTGGGCTGCAGGCGGCGCTAAACCGCTGCGCCACCGGGGCTGCCCCTCTCTTTCATGATTAAATAAATAAATGAATAAATAAATAAATCTTTTAAGTTTATTTATTTATTTTTATTTTTATTTATTTATTTATTTTTGGGCTCTTTTAAGTTTAAAAAAATACGGACACAAGTATGCAATAGATAAATGTATAATTTACATATATATGTAAAATCTATAAAATCTAGAATATGGAGGATGAAGCCAGTGGGAATGAGTTTAGGATGAATAAAACAAAATACATTTTCATAATTTGTTAGAATAAAAGCTGTTATTAGTGGGCCTTGTAAAGGACTGGTGTTAAAAAATAATCTTCATTTTTTTTTTCAAGTATAAAACCTTGAAAACAAATGAAACTGAGCTGTAAGTAAATAGAAAGTCCCTTGTAAAAATAAAATTAAAAAAAAAAGTCCCTTGTAACCCCACCCCTGGATATAAATAAAGGTAAAAGTTTTGTTTATATCCTTCAGACGTTTTATGTATATGTGCACATAAATCTGTGTATATATGTGTTTGTATATTTATCTTATATACTTTCTCTATTACTATTATTTTCAATATTCTTAAAAATGAAATTGTGTAATACTACACATAGTATTCTATATTTTCCATTCTGTATCTGTAATATTATCTCATTTGAGTCGGTTTCCATTTTGTTGATCTATTCTGATTTATTTATTTAATCCTTTGTTGATGTGCGATTGGGTTGTTCCTACTAAAAACCACGTGTATAAAAAGCAGTATGTATATGTTTACAGGTGCTTGTTATTAAATTATTATCTCAGTTCCAAAAGCACCTTTTATACTCTGCATCGTGGTGCTCACATCATAGGTTGTGGGCCTCTGCAAAGTGCTTTTCTGTTTCCAGCTCCTTTTTGGCTCTACACAAAGAGGGCAGACAGAGGAGACTGGAGCAGGGGTGGGTGGAGGTGAGGTGGGATGGGGAGTAGATGGTGGCACTTCTTGCTCCTGCTGCTCTTGTGGTCAGTGCCACCCAACAGTGGCCTCCACTGCAGCAGCAGGAGCTGGTTCAGTTCCCACGTCTCCCTCTAAGAATCAGCCTGGTTCCCCACTCGGAGGTCTCCCCTCAGATGTTCTTCTGCACATGTTCCCCCTTAGATGATCCCCCTTCAGACCTTCCTTCCTCTGATGTCCCCTCTACAGATGTCCCTCCCTCAAAATCCCTTTCTCAGATGCCCTCCCTCAGAGATCCCCTCTCAGACTACTCCCATCAGAAGTAGTATCTTTCCCACAGACATCCTCCCTCAGATGTCCTCCTTCAGATGTCTTCCTCATTCTCTGATGTCCCTCCTTCAGATGTCCTTCCTCAGAATTCCTGCTTCGGATGCCTTCTCTTAGAGGTCCTTCCTTAGATGTCCCTCCTTCAGATGTGTCCCCCCCTCAAAAGTCCCTCCTTCAGATGTGTCCCCCCCAGATGTCCCTCCTTTAGATGTCCCCTCTCAGACATCCCCCCTTCAGATGTGTCCCCCCCCTTCAAATGTCCCTCCTTCAGATGTTCCCCCTCAGATGTCTTCCCTCTGATGTCCTTTCTTCAGATTTGTTTGTCCCCCCACCCCCGGCAGACTTTCCTCCTTCAGATGTTGCCTCAGCTGCCCTTCCTCAGAGGTCTCTCAGACCTCTTTCAGATGTCTTTCCCACAGACATCGTGATGTCCTCCCTCAGAAGTCCTCCCTTAGATGTCTTCCTCAGATGTCCCCTTACTCTCAACATCCTCCCTTAGACTTTCTCCTTCAGAGGAATCCTCTCAGAGGTCCCAGCAGTAGCCAGTACCCCTCAGTGGAGGGCTCTCCACTATGACCTCTCTGACATGCTTCCAGGTTCTGATACTTCAGCCATTTCTTGGTTCTCCCATGGCACAATCCCACAAAGGAAATCGGTTTTAGAATTCACCGTTTGTTTGTTTGTTTTTTAATCTTTTACATGGAGTTCTAGATGCTACTATGCTTGAGAAAGTATGTAATCAGACACTTCTCAGACTGTGTGTCATTCCTTTTATGCAGCCCCAGTTGGTACTTCCACAATCCGAGGAGGCCATTTCAGAAACATTGTGGTCCCCTCCACCCATTGGTGACCGAATGCCCCAGCGACAGGGTGTGTGATGGTCACCTGTGGCCTGAGATGATGCAGCTTCCCCAGCCGGTGGGGAAGTATACCTGGGGGATTTGACTTTCTTTTAACTTGTATTACATTTTTGGAAATACCTTTGTACTTGCTTTATAATGAAAGAGTGCTCATCCTCCTTTGTTTATAAAAAATGTTTTGTGGCCTGAGACCTTTTATTTCCCATGTGTATTTAGCAATTTGCCTTCTCTGTTGCAGGATGGCAAAACAGAAGAGAAAAGTTACCGAAATGACAGAGAAAAAGAACAAAAAATTGAAGAAGGCATCAGCAAAAGAGATCCTGATGGTGCCTGAAGTCACACTGGGCACCAAAGAAGTGCACCCTGAGGTAGGTGCACATGGAGCCCCATGGCCTCCATTGTTTCCTAGCTAGGAGGGAGAGAGTTGGGCATTGTATTGCTGGTGTCTGGGAGCAGAGGATGGACCAAGTTACACGTGGACATACTCAGTGCCTTCTGGGAGCCGCCATAAGACAAATAAGAGAATCAGTAAATTTTAGGTTCAAACATCATGACCGCCTTTCTTCAGCCACCAGATCTCCAGACTGCTATTTGGGGTGCTGTGCTGCAAAGGGCATTTGAAGGACAAGCTGGACCCAGTGGCAGTGGCTGGGTGGTGCTGGCCGTTTGGTGCTCTGAGGGCTAAGCCAGCATCGTGCACAAGGAGAGGTGCCTCACCCTGGGTGATGTGCAGTGTGGCCTGAGAATCTGTATTTAAGAATTCAGATCTTAACATAAAAATGTTCATGTCTAGCTTGACGTAAGTCTGCCAGAAAAATATGTATATGCATTTAAAATTTGTTTTTTGTTACCACCATATTCTAAGTATTAAAATTTTTCTTTTTTATTGAGCTGTCTTTACAATTCCTAGCATGCAGTTGATCCAAATGATGTAAGATATTGTGAATTCTGACAAATTATTGCGCATGAAGTAAAATTTGGTCAAGTGTACATCATATAATGACATGGTGGGCTTTTCCTGCACACGCATCTGTGGGCAAGTGTCACTGTTGCTTGGATGGGACGAGGCCGAGTGTGGCTTTTCTTCCTGTTTCCCATGCCTGCCTATAAGCCCTGAACATAAGTGAATGAGGATGGAAGTTTGGTCATCGTGGCATTCTTAATTCCTCAAACTTGGAAACAGTGAATATGATTTGGGACACATTTTATCAAAATTTATTTTTAAAGGTCTGCCATTAGGTGACAACTTGACTAAGTCCTTCAGTTCTTTTGAAGAAAGAATTAGAAACCACCTGACTGGGTCAAGGATGTGTTGCTGGCTAGTTACTGAGATTGACTTCTGCGACACCAGTATTTCAAGCTGTGTCTTTGTTTAGTGCTCCTGAGGCATTTATGCCCTTAGCAGTGTTCCCTAGTAAGATTCAGGATGACAGGTGGCTTTTTTTTTTAAGGTTTATTTTAGTTTATTTATTTTAGAGAGAAAGTGTGTGGTTGTGTGCATGAGCAGGTGATGGGCAGAGGGAGAGGGAAAGAGAAGCCAAGCAGACTCTGAGTGGAGTTCATGACCCTGCAGTCACCACCTGAGCCGAAATTGAGAGTCTGATGCTCAACCCAGGTGCCCTCACAGGTGGCTTTTTCCTGTCACAAAATGGGTAAAGGACTGTGCTGAAGGGGGAGGAAGCCAAAAGGGCCCACCTGACATCATCCAACTCCCAGGCTGCAGGCCATTCTGACCTTTTCTCAGAGTAGTTTCAGGATGAGTGCACATGGCATTAGGGCCCCAGGAAAGCACTCCTGAGACCACCCATATGCATGCCTGGGTGAGTCTCAGTGTCCTTCAGGGTATATGTGCCCTGTTTGATGACTTTTGGTCCAGATCACTTGAGGACTGCATCCACTTAGGCATTGCTGTGCTTTTGATAGGTGGTGTGAGCTGATTCATCTCCCAGTGGCCATAGCAGTCAAGGAGCCATGGTGTGGCACAGTGAGTGCAGGTGTGTGCAGAGAGAAGTTACTCAGCTGAGCCTGGGGGCCATCTCTCAGCTGCTGCCACAGATTGCAGGAGGTTTGGGGTGGGCAGGGAGTCTGGCTGGCTTTCAGGACCCCGACTGGTCCCAGCTACCACTTCCCTGTGTGCTCTTTGACAGAGAAGCCACCAGGTCTGGTGGCTCATTTGATCACAAGGCCACTCTACTCCTGTATGTGGAAGTCTCGTGGTTTGCATGGCATCAGTATGAGGATGCCTGACTAGTTTCACTGGTGCCTACATCATGTCCTGAATGCAGGCTCTTAGCAGACCTGTGTCCCCTGGGCCAATTCTTGTTACTCTCTGCTCCACCACCTGAGCTCTGACTGTGTCTCTTCTTCCTGCTTTCACGATCCCATATGCAAGCTGGCATTCAGAGCTCCTCAAGCTCCCATTTGGTGGTTCAGTCTGCCCCTGGTTCCTTCTTTGATTACATATGATTGTCTTGGGCTGTTTCTAGGATACTTGACTGCTTCTTTTTACTCCTCCAGTTTTTTTTTTTTAATTTATTTATGATAGTCACAGAGAGAGAGAGAGGCAGAGACATAGGCAGAGGGAGAAGCAGGCTCCATGCACGGGGACCCCGACGTGGGACTCGATCCCGGGTCTCCAGGATCGCGTCCTGGGCCAAAGGCAGGCGCTAAACTGCTGCGCCACCCAGGGATCCCTACTCCTCCAGTTTTTTTTAAAAATAAACCCCTATTGGGCTCCTGGGTGGCTCAAGTAGTTGAGCATCTGATTCTTGGTTCTGGTTCAGGTCATGATCTCAGGGTGATAGGATCAACCCCCCTGTCAGACTCTGCACAGAGTGCAGAGTCTACTTGAGATTCTCCCTCTCCCTCCCCTCTGCAATCCCTCCCCCTGCCTCCCCCCTCCTAACACACAGTTGCTCTCTCTCAAATAAATGTTTAAAAATAAAATAAAGTCCATACTATCACCTTGGTGATTTTAAGTTTTGTCATAAAACTTCCAGCTTTCCTTTCTTGATAGTATCTGCTTGCTAGCTGCTGGTCACGAGGCAGGACCCACAGAACAGTGTGGGTTTATAGTGGATGTCAGCACAAGTTAGAATTTTAAGATCACAGCCGATACTCTTGCTAAGTTCAGGTTGTTTTTTAAAAGTATGAGACTGTTTTTTGTTATTAAAGTACATACTGATTGCAGTAAATTTGAAAAACAAAGCAGGACCTTCTGGTTTCTCTTTTAATGACTGGATTTTAGTTTGGTATGTAACATAATGGAGGAGTCTCCTGGTAGAAGCCTGTGCACTTGGACTCAGTTTTCTGCTCCCCCGGGTGTGGAGGCTTGGGTGGCTGCTGGCAGGCGCTGCGGAGAGTCGGTGCGGTTCTGAGACTAGCCAGAAGGGGTCGCAACCCCTCTGCCTACAGGCAGCTGGTGCTTCTCCTTTGCCCCAAGGAGCTGAAGCCCAGCGTGTTTTCAGGCCCAGGGAGGACTTTCAGGTGGGTGTCTGAGTGAGGTGCTGTGCTTGTGGACTTGGGTCCTGACGACCCCTTCTTTTTTTTTTTTTTTTTATTTATGATAGTCACAGAGAGAGAAAGAGAGAGAGGCAGAGACATAGGCAGAGGGAAAAGCAGGCTCCATGCACTGGGAGCCCGATGTGGGATTCGATCCCGGGTCTCCAGGATCGTGCCCTGGGCCAAAGGCAGGCGCCAAACCGCTGCGCCACCCAGGGATCCCTTGACGACCCCTTCTTATATTGCTGGTGCCGGTCACCCAGAGAAGTGGAGACTCTTCGGGGAGGACGCACCTTCAGCTGTGCTAATAACAGTGTTTCTTCACTCTGGTTCTCGTGGGAAATTATGAAAAAGTGATGTCAGGCAGTTTTATTTTATTTTATTTTTTAAAAATATTTTATCTATTTATTCATGAGAGGCAGAGAGAGAGAGAGGCAGAGACACAGGCAGAGGGAGAAGCAGGCTCCATGCAGGGAGCCTGACGTGGGACCTGATCCCGGGTCTCCAGGATCAGGCCGTGGGCTGAAGGTAGACTCTTAACTGTTGAGCCACCCAGGGATCCCTGTCAGGCAGTTTTAAAAGGGAGAACATTAAACACTGCACCTAATTTAAAGGAAGACGGGTGGACCAGCCCTGGAGAGTACATCCTATTACCCTGGGAGCTCGTGGAAAAGTACTGTGTTGTCCCCGCACTGCCTTGGCTGCAGGATAAACCTCTGGAATCCACATGAAGCACAGAGAAGCCTCTGTCCCCACTTGGACCACTGTGTCATCCTTCCGGGACTGTCCGTCTGCATAGGCCTGTGGGACCCTGTGTGGCCACTTCCCACAGCACCAGTGCCCTGAGCCTATGCCAGGAGGGCTGAAACTTCTCCAGTGCTGGCCCTCTCTGGCCCTTGGGGCAGCCTCCTCAGAGCCAGACGTCCCACTGGGGGGGTGGGGGTGGGGCCTCGGCACACCCAGCAGGCTCATCTTTGGCTTTCATGCACTCTGGAACTAGAAAGCCATTTATGTAGCCCTGGGCACTCTGAACCTCGTGTTCCTTCCTGTTCACTGCATTGTTTGCACGGCTCACTAGTCCGTTAACCTGGCCAGGCTCTTGTAGGTCTGGGTCTTGGAGACAGTGTTTGTGATGTTCCCAGGGTGGGCCAGAGCCCTCCTGATGCGTTCCTTGGTGCCTTGTTAACTGGTTCTTGCTGGATGGCCACAGGCCTTACTAAGGACCTACTGCCTGTGCCACACTTTCTCCCACTGCCATGCTGGACAGGGGACCCAGGAGGTCAGGGATGGGGTCCACAGGCCTATTCTCTTCCAAGGATGATGCCTTGGACCAGAGAGTCTCCACTCATCTCCTGGCATCTGGAAACCCTCCTGTGAGCCTGGGCTTAGGGGCCGGACAGTCATACCTGCAAGTTGCTGGACCCCTTTCAATGGGAGGGTTGCGAGGATTAAATCTTCAGGCAGCAGGTATGTACAGAGGGGCTGCGACCCCATTATTAGTCGTCAAAGGAAAGGGCTGGAGATGTTGCTTGTACGGGTCACCCCCGCCCTGAGGATACTCCATGATTTGGTTTCTGTCCCAGGCACTGAGCCACACGACAGGGAGATGGCATCATGTGGCTGTCCCCTCAGGGCCAGTCAGCCACTGCATGCCTTGGCAAGCCTGTGGGAGGGAATATTGCCGGGACATGCCTTGGCTGTCTGGAGATAGGAGGGGTGGCTGGCAGTGAGCAGGGGCCTCTTTTCTCCGTCTCACAGGTGAGAACCCATGTTTGTAGAGTATCGTTCCATTCACCAAAGTTCTGATGGGACTCAGCAGCCCTGGGATGCCACGGGCCTGGGTATGGCTGTTGTCCTGGCTTCACAC